ACGTCATATAATTAACTTAAACTTTCTAAATCACATAAATTAACGTGGTCTTCAATCGGATCTTTTAGTGTTTGAAAATTGAGTAAAACTTTCAACTAACTATTAACGAAAGGCTATACAGAGTTTATATACAAGATTAAACTACACACACTATCTTCTAACATAAACCCAACTAATAGCTAACAATCTAACAGATTACACAGAACAGTGTCTTAACAACAAACTTAACATAAGACTACGTGGACTAACGTCCGTTAAGTTATAATTCTAATATGCCCCCTCAAGATGGAACCGTAATGCTGTGAAGGACCATCTTGGATACGATTGGCTGCCATTTGAATCTAGGCAATGACTTAGTTAAAATGTCAGCTAACTGATATTGAGTTCGAATAGGCATCAAACGAACAGTTTTATCAATGATTTTATCACGTATGAAATGGCAATCGATCTCGATATGCTTTGTGCGCTCGTGAAACGGTGGATTGGTTGCCATTTGATTGCAGAATCATTGTCACAGTAAATCAAAGAAGTGTGGACGATGGGAATCCAAAATCATGAAGTAAATGTCGCAGCCAAATGAGTTCACTTGTTACAGCAGCAACAACTCGATACTCTGCTTCAGTGGATGAACGAGAAACAATAGTCGGTTTTCTTAGATTTCCACGAAATCAAAGATTCCCTAAGAAAACACAAAATCCAGTGACTGATCTACGAGTGTCAACACCTTCCTGCCCAATCCGAGTCACTAAAAGCTTTGAGCTGCAAAGAAGGTCTTGTAGAGAAAAATAATCCTTGACTCGGAGATTGTGTTAATTTTATCTCAAGATGATGACAGCTTGTAAATGTGGTTGTCTTGGTGTAGTTACAACTGACTCATCTATTCACAGCATAAGAGATATCTGGGGCGTGTGATAGTGAGATACAATAGACGACCAATAACCGTCTATATTGGGAGGATCAGTAGTAACAGGGTCACCTTCAAAATTGGAGCTTTTTTAAATTTTGGATCCATTGGATAATAAGTAGTTTTGATGCTAAAAACCAGTATCTTGTAAGAGTTCAAGAGCATAATTTTCGTTGACAAATGGAAATACCAGATGTTGACCGTGCCACTTCAAGACCCAAAAACATTTTTAAATTTCCCAGTCTTAAGCTTGAATTGTTTCACTGAGACTATGTTTCAAAGCATTAATGCCTTCTCTTGAAGCTCCAGTGATGACAATTATCCACATATACTAGCAAAGCCACATAAGAGGAACCACTTCCTTTGTAGAATAAAGAATATAATCAGCTTGAGACGTGTAAAGCTTTGGAAATTAAGAAAGATGAGAACTTGGAATACCACTGGCGAGAAGCCTGTCGAAGACCATACAACGATTTATTTAGCTTGCAGACAAGAAGGGTAGAATGGGAATTTTTGTGATCAACTTTGTAGCCTTTTGGAATATCCATATAAACATCCTCTTCCAAAATCACCATTTAGAAACCTTTTATTACATCTAGTTGTATCAATGGCACATGATTGTTGTGCAGCATTGCTAGTAATCTTGACAGTGACAGTTTGGCTACTGGTGAATGTGTATCAAGAAAGTCAACACCTTCAAGCTGATTGAATCCTTTGGCAACTAGTCTTGCCTTATATCGCTCAATTGAACCATCTGATTTTTGTTTAATTTTGAATACCCACCTACAACCCAATGGTTTTCTGTCATGAGGCAAAGGAACTACTTTCCATGTATCATTAACTTCCAAAGCAGCGAGTTCATCATTAATAGCATTTTGCCATTCAATTGACTTTATGGCTTCGGAATAAGATTTTGGTTCAATTTGAGATGATACAGACAAGGTATAAACTCTGATAAAGGATAGCGAGTATTATGTTTAGGCGAAGGTGTACCTTGTAAAAGATGACAATGATAATCTTGTAAATAGGCTGGAGGAACACGATTACGAACAGGTCTATTTGGTAAATGTTTCAGGACAGAGTCAGGCTGAGATTATGAGAATTTGCAGACATATTGAGGTGAATGTGGCTCAGGTGAAACATTTGGTTCAAATGAATTGTCAATAACATAATCAAAAACATTTTCTGAAACAATTGAATAACATGTTGAGCAAAAGGATCTATTTGATCTTTGAAAGTAGTATGTTGATAAGGGAAAATTGTTTCATGGAAGTTACATCTCTTGACAAAAATACCCTTTTTGTTTCCAAATCAAGTAATTTGTAACCTTTGACACCAATAGGGTAACCAAGAAAAACACAAGCAGTGGCACGTGGTTCAAACTTAGTTCTTGCAGCTTGTAATGTGGATGCAAACACAAGACATCGAAAAGTGCGTAGAATAGAATAATCTGGTTTCACATGATAAAGCACTTCAAAAGGAGAAATATGATCAAGAACTTTTGAAGGTGTTCTATTAATCAAATAAGTAGCACATGATAAGCATTCTGTCCAATAATCAACAGAAATCTTGGATTGAAAGAATAAAGCACGTGCAACATTAAGCAAATGTTGATGTTTACGTTCTACTACTGAATTTTGTTGAGGTGTTTGAACATTTGAAAATTGATGAAGCACACCTTTTTCATTGAAAAAATCAACAAACTTTAACTCCTGTGCATTATCAGAACGAAACACTTTGATATGAGCTCCAAATTGATTCAAAACCATTGAAAAGAACTTTGGTATAACATGTTGAACCTCTGATTTATGTTTAATCAAATATATCCATGTGAATCTTGAATGATCATCAACTATGGTGACAAAATATCGATGCCCTTGATATGAATTAACATGATAGGGTCCCCAAATATCACAGTGAATAAGATTGAAAGATTTACTAGCAACATTGTTTCTACATACAAAAGGAGATCTCTTTTGTTTTGCTAATGGACAAATCATAAAAACATGTTTATCTACCTTTTTATTCAATGACAACTCATTACTAATCTGCATGAGTTTCTTATTTGAAGGGTACCCAAACCTTTGATGCCATTGCTGTAGAGAAATAGTGTTGATAGAACTAGTTTGTAACTCTTGATCAAGCAGATATAGACCTACCTTCACACTACCCTTGCCAATCATCATCTTGTTGTTCATCTGCTATATAAGGGCATAATCATGATAAAGAGCAACCATGACATTTTTGTCCTCAGTTAGGGAAGTAACAGAAATGAGATTCAACTCAAATTGAGGAACATAAAGAACATTTTTGAGGATAAGATGATCATTCAGTTGTAAATTACCCACTAAATGCACTTGAATAAGCATTTGATTTGGTAATTTGACACGAGTATTAAAAACCTTTTTAGTATCAATAAAAAGTTTTTCATCATTGCAAATGTGTCTAGTAGCTCCAGAGTCTATGATCCAAACATTAGACTTATAATTGCCAGATGCAGTATTCAGAATATAATGGTTACCTACTTTAAATTCTTGAGTAGTATCTGCATTGGAAGAAGCTAATTTCCCTGAAAACATAGCAATAAATTGCTTGCACTGCTCATCACTTAGCCCGGTTACAACATCATTAAAACCAGAGAAAGAAGAACTGTTCACTTGTTCAGTAGAAATAGAATTAGCTCTTGAATTGTTGTTACCATTTGTGAACTTGAAACCAGGTGGAAATCCATGCAATCTGTAACATTTTTCTTGTGTATGACCCGATTTCTTGCAATGAGTGCAATAAACTTGATTCTTTTTGAAATTCTTATACTGATTATTGTTAACAAATTTTGATCCATTTGTGTCTCGAACATTAAAAGCAACAGCAGATTGAGACATTTGAGAAACACTTACAGACCTCTGTCGCTCTTCTTGTATGATAAGAGAAAAAAATGCGATTAACACTTGGAATAGGGTCCATTAATAAGATCTGACCACGAATTTGTGAGAAATCATCATTCAGACCCATAAGAAAATTCATAGCCTGCTCTGTTTCTTTGGCTCCACCACAGGTGCATAAACCACAAGTACAATGCATGTTGTAATTTGCAAATTCTTCCCATAATACCTTTAATTTGGTGAAGTATGTACTTATAGTATCTCCTCCTTGAGTAACATTCATGATATCACGTTTGATTTGGAAAATTCTAGGGCCATTACTTTGCTGAAAACGATCTTTAAGTTCTTTCCAAATATCCATTGCAGTCTTGAGATAGATCACTGATGCTGCAATTTCTTTCGAAATCGAATTGAGGATCCAGGAGATAATAATGTTGTTGTTACGAGACCAGGATTTGTATCGGACAAGATCTGTTGTAGCTGGCTGATTAATCGTTCCATCAATGAAATCTAACTTGTTTTTCACTGATAAAGCTATGGTTATAGCACGACTCCACGAACTATAATTGTCTCTAATAAGAATTTGAGAAACAAGAACGGTTCCTGGATTGTCTGAATGGTGGATATAATAAGGATCATCTGAATTCTCTTGAATATTGCGTTGATTTGTGCCTTCACTCATGATGAAGATCAAACAATCGAGACCTAGAATTCAATGAGAAAGGAACTGAAAAATTCGATTAACAGAGTAATCGAAATGAAACAAAACTGAATCCGATTGAATAAAATCGGATGATGAAATACGAATTGAAAAAGAAAACGAGATGAAAGATCGACGAGATGAACAATCTATGAACGAATAATATTCATTGTAGATGCGGAAATTGCTCTGATACCATTTTAGTGTTTGAAAATTGAGTAAAACTTTCAACTAACTATTAACGAAAGGCTATACAGAGTTTATATACAAGGATTAAACTACACACTATCTTCTAACATAAACCCAACTAATAGCTAACAATCTAACAGATTAACAACTAACAGTGTCTTAACAACAAACTTAACATAAGACTAACGTGGACTAACGTCCGTTAAGTTATAATTCTAATATGATCACTGCAGGAATAAATCTGAGAAAGTTCCATGCATTCAGGATCTAAAAGATACTAAAATTCATATACTTGAGTTTACTTGGTGCTAATATATAGATTATTTCACTCTGGCAGATTTACAACTGTTGTAACTGAAACAAATGGGGGCACTTGTTCAATTTCCAAACACATGTATACATGTAAAATTACACACATATATCAAATATGCTATACTAATTAATCATTCAGTAGTATTCTGATCAAGTGGTAATTCCTACTTTTCAAACTAAAAAATCGATGAAAAAGAGGGAGCTAAAGATTTATATCGAAATTGAAGCAACTGAATGAGCCCAGAATCTTAGTAGACCTTTCATCTCCACATCATTTCTACAATTGCCCATCGTCAACGCCATGAACTCATCTTTAGGTGCCTTGGGCGATGGTGTTGATCCATATTCTTCCTTATAGGCATCGGGAATCCGAATTGATGGTGGGTTTGGTGTAAGAATCTGTTGTTTGTACCAGTATGAATCTAAGAGGTTGTAGATGTATTCTTCGCTTGACGTCATTTTGATGCTGGGATGTGGTGTTACGTGATATACTGATATCCCTAGTATGTCTTGTAGATGTATTCATAACTTGTAGATTTATAAGGAGTAATTTGTTTACGCTTTGTAAATCTTAATGAGGTGGTGAAACGTGGACAAATTAATGGTTGCGTCTGGACCTTTCATAATGTTTTCATAAATATAATAAGAAAAGAAGAAGGAAAAAGAGTCGAGTGGGCAAAAATATTAATTATCAAGTTGTCGACAAACCACCCGTGTACTGTGTATGTGCACACTGATATTTCTTTTATTAAATATCTATTAATGTAAATTACAGAAATGGTCCTTGTGGTTTGGTCCATTAAGTTTCATAAGTTTGATTCTAAATCTTTTCTCGTGAAAGCTAGGTTTTTCTTCCTCTCATTATTTTATTCTTCAATTTATTTGATCGACTGGATTATCCTTATTAGCTGATTTATTTGTTCCATCCACATAATTTTTGACCCAATTACAAGGAGGTTGGTTTTATGGAGACCTTGAATTTATTTCATGAATTCCCCTTTTGCAGAGCCTTTAGTTCCACCATTGATGCCCTTCTCGAAGTAGTATTTTGATTTTATGATGAAAACCAAATATTAACCTAGAAGACCATTTCTTTTCTTTTTTTGGTTTTTGGCATGTGGTTAATGGTGGTGGTGCCTATAGTGGTCAAGGTAATCAATATATCTGGATCGATACAGCTTCGTAGGTTCATCAAATGGCGACAAATAAAACATCAGTTTTCATATTTTGGCTAGAAAATGTGCAGAGGGTTTCAAGAAGTAGCAGGCAACATCACAACATATATATCAGAATAAGTTTTGAATGAGGTGAGATGGAGATGGCATCAAAAGATGGTGATTAAGATGATGAGGTGGAGTAGAGTTAGGCAAAAGTGAACCCTTTTTTATTTTATATTATAAGTGAGAGAAAAAAATTAGAAATGATAAAATTGTCTTTAAACCATACCTTTAATTTATCCAAGTTATAAGGATACTCCTTATCAACTTTTCAAAGGTTGAACAAACCTATAATTGAAAACAAACCATAAGGACCATTTCTGTAATTTACTCTCTCAATTATTTGATTCTACCTGCTTTCAAATAAACCTTAAATATCTTAAATTACAAAAATGATCCATGTAAGTATGTGTTTTTTCTGAGTCTAAGTCTAGTCTTTTTAATTAGGACATGGAGTGTCCATGATGATTGTTTTTTCATGCGAATAGTCCTTTGATTTGATGCCATTTACTTTGCCCGGTTTAAATCATATGAAAAGACGGTTATAACCTTACTTTTGACTAGGGAAAATGTCATATTAGCCGAACAAACTTGTCACGTTTGTTCGATTTGGTCACAAAAGTTATTTTTCTGCACAATAGGTCAGTAAACTTGCATATTTGTTGTTAATTACATCATTTTAAGAGTTGTGAAGGGGTCATCCGGTTTTCTTTTGCTTATTTGGCATTTTATTAAATAGAAATTTTATTTTGACAATGCCACCTATGCAATGTTACAAGGCCCATAATAAAATTAGGTATTCTTCTTCCAAACAAGGTGTGTTCATCCCAGTGCTCTCCAATTACCCACACTCTCTCAAAAATCGATCAATCTTTCCCCCTTCTTTTCTCTTCTAAATCGTTGGACCAGAGGCTATGCCGATGCTTCATCGTTGGGAGTTGTACCTGAACTGCGACGGAGCAAGTCTGTCACGGCTGAGAAATGTGATATTGTGAATGGATCGAGTCTGGATCTCCAACGGAAGTTGTGTGATGTAAGGGCTTGTAATAAGCTATCAAATTTGTTTAGTGGCTTCAAATCCTTGAATGTGGCTTCAAATCCTTCTTGTTCTTTTTCACAAACTCATTTTAGCTAGTCTTCAACACATAATTGTGTCTGCTTGTGCTTTTCAATCGCCACATCTTCATCACCATTGGTTTATGATGCAATCACAATCTTGGCCCTAATAATCCCATCTCAAACTCCTTTCCATTATATAGATCTTGTTTCTCATTTTCTGTCACGAACTCGTCCATTTTCAGTTGTTTCGTCGGCATACTCCTGGAAACACGTCTACAAGTTTCACAAGTTCTCCCAAACCCAAACGTTCAGTCACACTCCCATCACAGTAAACAAAATGCTCGACGTCGTCGGAAAATCAAGAAACTTAGACCTTTTATGGGATCTGATTAACAAAATCGGGCATATACATTTGGTTACATGTATAATCTAGGAACTGTGAACAGAGTGATTGAGACTTTATTTGGGTGTAAACTTGCTGAAAAAGCTAAACACATTGTTTTCAAATTGAAGGAATGGATTTAAACTGATCGGTTCATGTACAAGTGTGTGATTCATAGGTTCTAATGTTCTATGAAGGTTTTGATATATATATATATATATATATATATATATATATATATATATATATATATATATATATATATATATAGGCCTAGGTTATTCTATTCAAAGTAATTATTGTGTTATTGTATGCATAAATGTGGGCCAATCATTTTACTTATTTTAAGAAAGTGATTAATACATATTATTTAATTAAATATAATTGAAAATACCATCTAATTTAACTAGAAGGGTATTTTAGTCAGTTAACATAGATTTAATAAAGGAAATTTGCATATTTTAAGGGATCAAAGATTCTATTAATTTTAAAAATCCGATTTTACAAATTATAAGGTTTTTAGTTCGGACATTCTGACAGAATATGTTTGAGTATGTTCAAAAATAACAAAATTTTTTGTAGAATAACAAGATTCTCGAACCATCAATTGAAGAATTAAAACAAAAATTACATTAATTCTTATAGAATACATGTAACAATTGCTAAGAATTACATTTATTTTTAAAGAATAAAACTAAAAAAACTTTCAAATCTGGAAAAAAGAACATCAAAATCTAATAAAAACACTAATACATTCTAAAAGAATAATGTTGCTAAGAGGCGTCGTTCAAATTTTGTAGTCCGTTCTTCAAGCATCAGCTTCTGTAGAAACAAATACAATGAATAAATTAGTGAGAAAATATTCATACTCCATTCCAACATAATTGGAATTCGTGATTCTATTCTGATAGAATTGAAATTCATTTACCAATAATTATATTAATTCGGGGAATTCTAACAGAATATGTTCATGATTATCATAAAAAACATTCTTTTCTGATAGAATGCTATAAACGAAGAAATACCATTCAGTTGAAGCATTTTAGCGAGCACTTGGTGTGCATGAAAACAACTTTCAATTCAGTTGAAACATTCATCTGTCAAATAAGCAACCAAAACAACCATGATTTGTGTTCAACCAATCAAACCCAAAAACTCATCTAAACCTATCGATTAAACTTCATCGATTTACAGTAAATCAATCAAAATAAGAAAGAATATTAAAGAAACCTGTCCAGCCAACAACAACCCTTTGTTTCTTCTTCTGCTTGCCCATTGATTTCACAGCCTCAATCCAAACACCCATCTGATTTCGGTTCTTCTTCCCTGCCTCCACCGAACCATTGATGCATTTTGTCGAATGTTTTATGTGCGTGATTATACCTGAGAAAGCTGGATTGGAAAATTGGGTTTGTCATCAGTGGTTTATGTGAGTTTTGAATTATCATTCAAAATCAATTGCAGATCCAAATCAATTACGAGTCAATTTCAACTACGAAAAGTTTCATCAACGAGATCAATTATATGTAACATTGATAATTTGAAAAAAGAAAAGTACCAGGAGCCAATTTTCGATTTGGCTTTGACGCTCCCTTGCCGATAAAACGAAAAGATAAACCCTAACCTGTCATTTGACTTTCGAATTGATATCAGTATTGGTCTCTGGTCGGATTCCTGTCTTCCTCGTTCGTAATTCCCTTTTTTTTTATCGAAGAGGGTAGCTATGGTATCGTCGGCAACGATGGCTATGAGGAAGGAAGTGGGTAGTCATGGTGGTCGTATGCTATGAAGATGATTGTGTGGCTATCGGCGATGAAGATGATGGTGGTGCTCAGCAACCGGAAAAACAGGAATATGGTGGTGGTCGTCTGGTAAATTTTGTGGGTCGATGTTTCTATACGGTGGAATCGGTGGAACGAGGGGTTTGTTCAATTTAGGGTTTTCAGAATCGGTTTTTAGATAAAGAGGGGAACGAGATTTAAACTGGAGAGATACCATGATTATAGGGATTATTTTTGGAAGTTATTAAACAAATGACTAACTTACCCTTATTTATTTATTTTATTATTTAATTTTGATTGGCCCACATTGATGCATACAATAACACAATACTTAGTTAAAACAACTGAACCTATCTCTCTCTCTCTCTCTATATATATATATATATATATATATATATATATATATATATATATATATATATATATATATATATCGATGGTGTGGAGAAGATGATGAAAACGCCTGGTCTTTGGTTTTAATTTTGATTTATAGGTAAAGAAAATTAGTGGTTTGACTTTTTTAGGGAAATTTCATCTTGACTATCTTACATGTAGGATCCAAGTGTATTAAGTTTGTGCTTAGGTGAGATTACAACCCGCTATATAATGGGTTAAGGGTTCAAAACAATAGGTAAAAACAAAGTTCATGCCCCTAGAAAGTTAAAAAAAAACATGAATGCTCTTTTAAAACAAACATGACAAGTTCGTTGGGCTAATGTGACATTTTTCCTTTTGACTATTGTACCAAAAAAAAACTGTGTCTCTTTTTTTTCTCACAAAAAACTCGTTGCCCGTCAAACAAATAACAATTCCCTTTCCGACCCTCACTGTGGGTCATCCTCGAAGTGAAGTCATATTGTCATCATCTCCGACAATGAAATTGCATAGTCCTTGACTCATTGTCTCTTAAAACGACACCCTACCATACATTTCTAAATCTCACTCAGGTTCACCCTTTCGAATTTGGTCAATGGCTAGGTTTCTTAATTGCGTTTTCGATTTCCATTAGTGAAAGAACAT